CCCCAGGCGCTGCCCCGCTGTCCCCAGGCGCTGCCCCGGCCCCGCTCCGGTGCCTCCACCCGGGCTCGCTCCGATCTCCGACGTGGAGCTTCCGGGCCCGCAGCTCTCGCAGCAACCCCTCCGTGAGGCCTTTCAGTCTCGCGAGAGCGAGGCTCCCCCGTGGGATGCCGGGATGTGTAGTCGGCGGCTCCGGGCCGCGCGGCGCGGGGCAGAGTGGGAGTTGTAGTCGGCGTGCGCTGCCTCAGGAGCAGAGTGGGCTCGGAGCCGTGGGGTCACAGGGTGGGAAGGGACCCACGGGGACCATCGGACCTAGCTCCGACCCTAAACAGCACACCGTGTGTGTGAGATACCCAGCTCTGACCCTAAACAGCACACCGTGTGTGAGAGGTACCCAGCTCTGACCCTAAACAGCACACCGTGTGTGTGAGATACCCAGCTCTGACCCTAAACAGCACACCGTGTGTGTGAGATACCCAGCTCTGACCTCCAGCCTCAGCCTCCCGTGACCCAGCTCTGCTGTTCCCTCAGGTGCTGTCCCCATCACCGCAGAGCAGAGCCCGGTACCTCCCCTCGCTTCCCCTGATGAGGATGCTGCAGGTCTCTGTGAGCTCTCCCCTGAGTCTCCTGCAGGCTGAACACACCAAGTGTCCTAAACCATTGTACAGCATCCCCTCCTTCACCATCCTCGTGGTCTCCTTTGGACACTCTCGAATAGCTGGGGTTTTTTATACTGTGGTGCCCCAAACTGTGTCCCCTCAGTGTCCCCAGACAGAGTCCCCTGTGTGACCCTGGACCCCTCAGGGAGAGGACGTGGTGACAATCTCCAGGTGTGCCCAGATGTGCCCGGTCGTGTCCCCTCAGTGCAGTCTTGGTGTGCACCGTGCTAACGCTGCTGAGGGGACAGGAGCCTGGTGACAGCGCTCTGGGGTGACCTGGCAGGGAGCCCGGCGTGCCCATCTCTCTCAAAGACAAACACATGAGCCTGACACAGGAAATGTGACACTTTTCTTAACCATTTTGCCAGCTAAAATCGCTGCAATCCCAAACAGCATCTAATAGTAACCTGGCAAATATGAGGGCTTGGGAAGCACCGGAGCACAAGAACCCCCTGTTGAGGGAATTTCTCCTACCCCTACTGCCAGATTGAAATTCCATCTCTAAAAATTGCATTCCCCACATTTTGTTGTATAATTACACAGAGGATATTTATCTTGATTGGGATCCAGTTAAAGAAAATTCTCCTTTTGATACAAGTGCTCAGCTGGGGGTTAGGAGCCCTGTGTCCTCTATCCCACAACACTGCAAGAAGGATTACACCGGCCTGCAGTGTTTACAGTCTGAAGGACATAGCGAGAGAGACAGAATAGTTACTGCAATTCTTGTCATTTTCACTCCAAGGGAGAAAAGATGGATAATTAAATCTTTTAAAAATCCCACAAATCTGATGAAAAGTGAGAAGAAAAATGCCTGAAGCAAGAAAAGGGGCACAATATTGTCAACTGCTATGATGAATTTAGACTTTCAGCTTTCTTGAAGTCTTGCTTTCCACTTTGAATTCATTACAGTGATGATTCTCCAAAGTAATGAATAACACTTAAAATGTTTGAGTACAGAATTTTAGGATGTACAGTCTGGAAAACCCTGCCTAAAAGGAATTATGTGAGTAAAATTTATGAATTTTGAGTATAGTTCTTGATTTTTAGATGGCTGAGGTGGAACATTGAAAGAAGATACGTAGAAGAAAGTGACCATAATAGAGAATGTAAATAGTGGGGGATATACAGCACACACTGTGTGTTTTTCCTTGAAAAACTCACTGAAGTCTTGTCCAGAGAGAGAGACGAGACTGTTACAGGGCAATTAAGGATGATCAGCAAACTGAGGGAAAGATGAAGGCATAGAGCTTGTTAGTCAAGAAAATAACAGCAGAGAAAGGAAGAAATTATTTTGCTGTTAGCTTCTCCTGGGGAGTTGTAGTAATAGAAAAGCTAAGGGGGAGAGAAATAGCACAGGGTACAAACTGACCTTACAGGAGGAAAGAAGAAATGAAAAAATAGCAATTAAATTTGAAATAAGAAATACCCCTCACAAGCTGTTAGAGGCAAGTTTACCAGCTGGGTGTGAGGTCTGAGTCCATGATCCTTTGTGGAAATTAAATGGGTGTACAGAGGGAATATATTATGTATTTGTTTGCCTTTCACATGGTTTCCTGTGTATCTTGTACTGAGCACTGTTTCATCAGGGGCTGCATACAAAACAGCTGGAACTGCGGCATGTCTCTGGGAAGCCTTTCAGTACAGGGATTACATGAGAACACAAGCTCTGCCTCAGGTTTTTTGTGTAACTCAACAGTTATTCCTATACTTTTTTACTGAAAGATATTTTTCAGGTAAAAACCCCCCAAGCAGGTGTTTTATTGCAGAGCAGTGAAAGAGGGCATTGTGGGCATTGCCCTGAAGTTCCTCGGGCCCCTTTCTCTCCTCTGCTTGGCTCTGCAGTGGCACCTGCTGCAGCTTACCTAGAGCATCACACCCCTGGGCTTAGCTCTCTCCTCCCAGGCCTGAAAGAAATCTGGCATTTTCTTTATTCTGGAGGAAGGGCACAACCCTGAGTTTGGCTGTCTCCTGTCCCACGGACAGGGAAAGGGGAGAGGATGAGGCAGGGAAATGATGAGATGGCTGCAGATGAGAAGAGTGCAACCTCAAAGATGAGAAAAGTGCAACCTTTTTCCTTCAAAAACCACAAAAATCTGTACAGAACATTTTCAGTGCATGTGAACAGCCATTCCACAAGTGCCTTCTTGTTAGGAACACATTTCTGTAAGTGTGGATATAGGGGTGTCTACAAGTGTATAACAGAGGAACTAGAGTGTTGTAGGACACATTTCCCGTAGGTACAAAGCTACTTTTAAATCTCATTAAAAAAGTTCTCATTAAAAAGGACCTTTTTTGTTACCCAAATAATCGTCTCAAGGGAGAGTCAGCTCACTCAACCTCAGTTTTCCAAGATTTCAGCTCAGATTATTTTGACTATAAAATTATTGGCAGGTTTTGAATTTGTTTGGTAATAAAAATGTTTTTTGGAAGTAGGCTATAGCATTTTAACTTAAAAATAAAAAAGTATAGTATCATTAATTCAGAGAAAAATATTAAAGCAGTTTGGGATATCAATCATAAGCACCTATAGTTTATCCATAGTGTAGCAAATAGCTGGTGTTTTAACAATAAAATACCAGACCATTTTCTTTTTCTCTCAGGTAAAGACTAGAGGTCTGGAAATAAGAGCTATGTCTCTATATATATCTATATATATATTTGTGAAAACTCCTATTTGGCTCTGGAGTGCTGTCAGGTAGAGCCATACCTAAAAATAAAAAAATAAATGTAATTAATATAAGAATAAATATAATAAATACATTGTACATATATTACATGTAATAATTTTATGTAATAAATATGTTCTGCTGCTTGCTGCAGTAGGCAGCTCAGTCCTGCGCTGCAGGGTTTCTTTGCCTTGATTGATCTCCCCAGGACACAAATTCTTTCTCCAGGCTCCAGGCACTGCTGATTCTCCTCACGAGGTTCTGTGGCCCCTCCTGGGATCTCTGCATTTCACCTGGGGCTCAGCTCTCCAGTGCTTCGGGCTTGGCTGACTGAGCTGCTATTGATGGTTTATCAATTCCCTAAGTGAGCTACCCTGCAACCTGGAGTGCTGTTCTGTTCTCATAAGGCCCTTGCTTTTAGGAGGAACAGAGGCACTCAGCTCTTCAGGTCAGCTCTACAGTATTGTGTTTATTTTACACGTGAATTAATGTGCCGTGCTGCTGATTGCTGGGAGTTCATACTTGCAGTGCAGTGAACTGAAGCAAAACTCGTTGCAGCCTTAACTTGGCAGACAGTGAAGATTGATGGAACACGCTGGGTTTAAAGGAAAGGTGTTATTAACATGTAGGTGGCAGAGCTGTGAGACAAACCCTGCTGTAAATCTGAATTAAAGCCTCCCTTGTTAGGACAGCATTTCACCCTGTGCTGGCTCAGGGACAGCGGTGGTGTGGAATGCACTTTCTGAGCTGCCCAGCCTGTCTCTTACTCTTGCAAACATCCCCAGCCTTGGATACAATCCTGACCCATGTACCAAACATTAACCTGACTAGAATAATGAGGAATTAAAACCCCAGTAAAGAAATAAGAACTGTCAAAAGGCTAGAGTTTAGATTAGAGAAAATATAATCCTATCCTCCACAAAACCTGTAACCTGCCAGTAGCAGCCTGATGGGGCATAAAATGATTGTTTCTAAAAATGGTTGTTCCTTCAAATACAATCATGTATGTAGTGCATGCAGAGGAATGAGATGCTGTAGTAAGTAAAGGAGGGATTGGAAGTTTTGTATTTGGTGTAATCTAAAATAATATTGCCTGACACTTTCATTACAGACCTGCCTTTTCAACTCACAATACTGCCAAAATTAAGCCATGTAGGTTTGGACTTTTTGTACTGGCTGTCTTCATCTCATCAAGATTAACCAATTTCATGCTGTTTTCAAATTTCAGTGGTAAGTTCACTATTTTTAACAGGGTTTTAAGTGAGCACAAATACCACCTTCTTTAAAATCAGCAACAGGATAATCAGCGATACTCTCAGCAGCATCTGATATGGACTTAATTTAAAGAGAAAACCTAAAGTATTAATTGTGGTAGCACCGTAGTGTGTGATACCCACATGCTAATAAAAAGGAGAGAGATGTCTTTAAACAGACAACTCTGAGAAATAAAGGTCAGTGAGAGAGACTAAAGTGTTGTATATAATATAAAGGCTCCAGTTCTTGACCTCCTGTGCTACAGCTTCTTTGGGCACATTTGATTCATTAGATAAAGGCTATCTTTATGTCTTTCATGTAATCACTTAGCAAGAACCATCCTGATTGACCTGTTAATACTCCTGATTTATTAACACTTGCTTCTTGTTTTATTTCCTGGAGGCCACAGTTCCAATCCTGGCACGATTCCATTTCCATTAAGATTGGTGGCAAAAGGGCAGCCCTTAAACCACAGAAGAGGTTCAGGAGGAAGCAGTTTATATCTTCCCAGGTTTCCAAGTTTGGAGCTTGTAATTTCTTTCTTTATCAGATTTACAATGCCTTCCACTATAGTGGAACGTTGGTGCTAATGTTCTTTTACTAAGTTTTCAGGCTTCAGATAAACTTATTCCATTTTCTCTGCTCATCTTCAAACCTGCCAAACTGTTCCTAAGATCTGATTCAGTGAGCAGTTTAGTTTGCCCTGAATATAGTCTTTAGATAACATGAACTAGAAAACCTATAAAATGATTTCTTCTTGTCTGAGGAGTATCTGCCCAGTAGCTACTTAAAATTTCTGTAACAACATAGATTTCAGGACAGAGATTCTGTGATTTCCATTTTTATTTGCTATAATATATTATTAACTTATCGCTGCTGACTACGGAGTTGCAGCATTCTTGGGAAATGATTTGGCATCAGATTTTCCATAAGCTTGCAAAAATTGTTTATTGAATAGCATGGGTTGCCAGCACCCTGGACAACTGAGAACACTGTGTTTGTTTTCTATTAAAGTCAGACAAAATTGACATAGACTTATTTTTTATCCAGATGCAAAGTGGTAATAAAAGAGAATTTAAGAGCAGCATTATGGACACTGAGTCAACATGAAAGGTTCACGGTGAGACTTTAATAATTGACTGTGGCTTGGGAAAGAAGTTGGTTGTTTTCTCTTAATTTTGCAGTTTGGGGTTTTCCAGATGCAGAGGTGAGGCTTCAGCTCCTCCTGCAAGTCTGTACGATGCTCAGAACCATCCAGAATTCAAGTATCTCAATATCCTACAGTGTCTGTCTCACAGCAATGATGTTAAAGCTGCTTTTGTGGCAGTGCAGTGATACCAGACAATACCTTCCAATTGTGCATTTTGTCAGCAAATGAAGGAAAGGGGATTGGGTGCACAGCACAGATGTGAATCTGTCACTAAGATCTCACTGCTTAGGCACAAAGACTTTTGTCTTTATAATTTGATGTGCAGGTCAGCCTTGTGTGGTGTGCTGGGCACAGAAAACCAAACCCTGCTGCCATGTCTGGCTTTCAGGACAGGGTAATTTACATAGGGTGTCAGAAGAGCCTTCTAGAAACCCCAAATGTGACCACAATCCAACACTATTCCCTTGAGGAATGCCTGTCAAATGGAAGGTGGCTTTGTCAGCAGGTTTGGAACTTTTTTTTATTTTATTTGTTATTATTTTTAAATTTGTTTACAGCAGTGTAATATGTAGATGTTTTTCTAGGAAAGGTCAAACCCCTCTGTATTTCTGATTGGAGTTGCATGGTTTATGAGTTTGCCTTGTGTTCAGAAAGCAGCAGCACACAGGATCCTGTGGCATTTCTGCAGCACAGAATGTGTGTCTTTGTATCAAAAGCTTTTTCTTCACAATAACTCAGTAACAAGTTGTTTAGTAGGAGAGCAGGCCGTGATGAAAGCTATATTAAATGTTACCCTTGCTCTTTTGCAATAATCAGACATAAAAAACATACTGCCAGAGGCAAATGTAACAATGTATTTATATGTACAAGTCTTATACAAGCACTGTTTCTTTTGTTTTCCCATTTCTAGTAGAACCTGAAACATTAATTTTTTCAGAGATACAGTCATACATATATAATTCAATAATATTAGTGTGTGCTTTGTACTTTCTTCGTGTAGTCTGAAGACTGCAAGTTATCTCCCCAATCTCTGTTCATGATTTGAATTTGTAAACTCAGACTGTAGCAATGAATTCTTTTAGCTTTGAATATCTCTTTTTCAATCCTTGGTCAGTATATTACATAAATGGAAGCTGACATAGGATTTGCAGCACTCTGGGAAAAATTCATTCCCAAAGATGAATTATAAAATCTGTTGATGAGTGAGGATCAGTACAGAGTCTCAGTTTAGACTAAAAAAGTTTAGCCTTTTAATACTAGAGCTTTCTGGTGCAACTCTAATGCTGCTGTTCTTGGCATTCTGTAATACAGTCAGCTTCCCCCTCCCTCCAAGCAGTGATAATAACCATCCCTCACACATCCTTTCATATCCTTTATGAAGTCTTCCATGGAGAATGGAGATGGGTTGTTTTTTATACGGCTTTCTGAATTGAAACTGAGGATTTTTAACACCATGTAGCCAGTATGTTGTTGGAATTTCATCCCCCGCCCGAAGTAAAAGTACTTGGAAAGTTGTGGTGGCTTGTAAGTACACAAATTATCTTAACAGTTCTGTTCTTAAGAAAACATGACAGGGATGTAATTCAATTTACCACAGAGGTATGAAATGACTATAATGACTATTTTTGGTTTGAGGGAAGAGGGCAGTGTGAGTACAAGATTCACCACTCGATGGCGCCTTGATTCTGTTCATCCCCATTTCTTTTTCCTCTCTGATGTCTGGACACAAAATTCCAAAACTAGTTTTGTAGTAAATCTGTCTGAGAAAGCAAATTTATCACATATTTCTAAACGATAGTTTTTAATGTCTTCTGCAGAAGTAAATAAAAATATTTCAATTTTCACTGATGCATTTTAATTCCAGTATTTCAATGAAAAACAGTGAATTAACTCAATTTTGGTTAAGCAGTTCTTCAATGTAAATATTTGTGGGAGGACAACGGCATGGGAACTGTTCCTGACATCAAATCGACTGACAAGGCTTTTTTCCTTTGTGACACCTTTTTCTGTATCAAGGGGCTGCACTACACCCATGACAAAAACCCCAAACAGAACAGATTTTGGGATTTTGCTCTGTTCTGTGCACACTTGTCTGTTTTGCTGACAAATGCAGGCTCCTTGGATGGGTTTGTAACTGAAGAGATGCCATCCACTGCTTGAAACTCTTTAAAATGAGTGACAAAATTACTTGAATGAAAATGCTGTCTGATTTTCTATGTGAACTATTCCATGACAATTGATGAGTATTGTTACATTTGATGTATTACAAATTAGTGCTGGAGTTGTTTGAAAGCTCCTCTGAGATGGGATTCAGAAGATTGGCTCTGGCTGCTAATAGAAGCTAGACATATATATATATTAAAATATTAAATAACACTGGAGACAATGCCATTCTGTCAGCAGGGTCTTTAGTGGTTGTGTATTGGCTGACAGAATTCTGCTGGTTGGGAAAGTAGATTTGATTTGCACAAGACAAAAACTGTGCTTTGCTGGCTGTCATCATGTTTGTGTTTATAGATTTGTGACAAAAGGAGGTTTCTGGCAAGAAGCCTTTGCAGTGTAGACCAGACCGAGGAAATTTTTCTATGCTGAAGGTAATAGTATAGGAAAAAAAGTGCTTATTGTACTACTCATATAAGTTCTCTTAAAAAACCAAATATCACTAATTTAAAGCATTTATCTCCAGAGAAGATGCTGCAAATTCTCCTGTGGCTTCAAATAACTTCTGAAAGTTACAGCCTCACACTTCACAGGGAACTACAGAAACCAAGATTTATTTATTTTGCCCTCTAAATACTGCCAGATAAGAAGACATGACACTGAACTGGATATAGAAGTTCTCACATGAAATCCTCCCCTACCATAAGATGTTCTCTGGTGCCTTCTTTTTCTTTTTTTTTTTTTCTCCTTTTTTTTTTTTCCCCCTATATAATCATTATAATGCAGGGAAAAATGGTAATAAAAGCACCTTTATGCTCCTCAGTCAGAGGAGATTAATTACTGCTGAGGCAGCTGGCAGGGAAGGATAGGACAGTAATGGTGCAATGGTTTCATTACCAAAACCTAATGGAGTGGTTAGGGAAGAAGCATAAGTTATAACCTCTTAACAAAGTGAGAGAAATTGATAGAAATATTTTCATATTTTGGTCTTTAAATCCAAGTGGAATCCAGAAAACAAGCAAAACATGTCCCTCAAATGCTCTAGCATGGACCTAATATTTGAGAAAATGATTTGGCCTGTGAACTAAGGGGAAACTGGCTGTGAACACACCTGGCTGCAGAATTCTATCCAGAGTGGATGGACTGAGGAGTCTTGGTTGTTCTATTGTTTGCCATCAAGGCAGAGGACTGCATATATTTGGAATAAATTAGATTATTAGATAAATTGTTGCACTGTTGTTATATCTACCAGGGTGGCACTTATTTATTCTATGAAAGAATTTTAATCTCTGTCAATTCCTTAGGAAACAAATCTGCAGGGTGAGCTGAACTATTTGGGCCTTATTTGACCCATTCCAAGGTGCCAAAATGTGTTCCATTTTTCACTGAAAGATTCTAAATCTGGGTCTCTTTTTATTTAAACCATTTGCAGCAGGACAGCCACAGAGTTCTGTCACATGTTATAAATAAAACCTGAGATCTGAGGAGCTGTTAGGGTGTTTTCATGCACAGCCTTGCTTATATTTGTTTATATTGAGATACACAGTGAGCAAAACAGATCTTTTTTCTTGTGAGTTTGTGAAGGATTGCCTTTCCTATTTGAAACAGAAGCATCTAGAGCATCTAGAGATTTATCCTTGTGAACAAGCAAGTTATAAAAACCTGGAAAGCCAAGCTCAGGCAAAGGCTGGAGCTGCTTGGACTTCTCTGGGACCACAGTGATCCTGCCAAGGGTTCAGTTCCTCCTGCCACTGTCACTTCATCCTCTGTCCCCTGGCTCTCTGCAGAGCCACTGTGCAATCAGCATGGCCATAGAAAACCTGGGGCTGCTTCTTCTTTTGGATGACACAAGTCCCCTAAACCAGGAATCTTTCATCTCTGATGACCCAAATCCTCGCTCTGGAAATCAGTTATTTTCCTTCTGCAGCTCTGGATGTGCTCACATTTTAACTAAGTGCTCATGTTTGCTGTGTGTTCAACTGATGCCATCAAGGCAAGCAATTTGCTGTAATGCTACACAAGGCACCCATTAGTAGCAAACAGCAATCTGTGTTTTTAGAGAACCAAGGCTGTTATTTCACAAAGGGAGCAATTCAACTCTGCCTTAATCCTCTAACGAGTAAAGCTCATCTTCCAGGTGTTTTTCCTGACTATTTGGCTGCTCTTGGCTTCTCCAAAGTGTTTAGAAAATGAAAGTCTAATTTAAATTAAGTTGTACGTGATTATTAAAAAAATACAATATATGTGTCTATATAAATAAATGTAAATACTCTTTTTTTTTAATGGCAGAACAAAATGCCATATGTCACATGTCTCTATTTTTAGTTGCTTGTTTTCAATATCTAAGCAAAAAGAAAAATGTTTAACTTAAAACCTCGTCTCTAAACATTCAGGACTTCATTGCATTTGTTTATTGTATCAACAACAGTGAACAGCAATACACATTTTTCTGACCATGATACTTTGAATGCATTAAATTCTGCAGCTTCAGAATCTGTTTTCAGTAGAGGCCTGATCAGAACTGGTCTGGCTGAACTGAACAAATGTCTCCCTGGAAGTGCTCTGACTTTAGCAGAGCTACTTGCAAAACAAATTCCAATACCTATTTCAACACACAATTATTTCAAAAGCTGAAAATTAACTAAAACCATATCAAGAAAATATAAAATTATATCTTTTGAGAACCTGCTGTTGTCTCACTTGTTACACCAACTGACTTTTATTATGACTTTACTCACTTTTGTGCCAAAGCTCAATAAATAACCTTTCTCTGCCCAGGTTGGGAGGCATGATGATGGAGTGGGGGGATTTTCAGCAAAAAAGGCACAGTACAATCTTCAGCAGGACTACTGCCCTGTTGGAAGAGCACTGCTTTAGTCTGATCATCAGAAAATTTAAGTAATCTTTGGCTTTATGGCACCTCCAAGAAAAAGCATATACCTCTGTTATTAAAGTTCTTTTTCCCTACATAAGTGTAGGAAAAAGGTGAGCAAATTTTGAAAAAGCAAGTCAGTTCCTAGAGAGACAGCTGGAAAAAGGCAAATCAGATCATTTAGTAAGTAGAAAAAATATTAAGTATTGTAAAGTAGGCAATGAAACAAGCACTGCTGTGAGCAGCAGAACCGCCAAAGCTTGGTTTCTAGGGGATTTTATCTCATGCTTGAGTTCATTGGCATCCAGCTGAAGGTTTTCCATGGTTACAGGCATTTATCCTAAATGATTTTCTGGGACTTGATAAACATGAGTTCACCCTTAGCCTTTATTTTACTGGAGGCATTCTATCGAGCTATTCATTTTCACATAATATCATAAAAATATTATATTTAAAGAATTTATATTATACAGTCAGGTTTGCTTGGCCAGTCTACCCTGGGAAACTGATTCAAAAGCTGTGGGCCAATAATCATCGTGGACACCTATGAACCCTTCCAGCCCTGGATATAAGCATATATATCCATGGATATGATACATGTATATATCCAAAAGGGAATGAAATAGAGGTGACAGGGGAAGACAATTAAGAAATTACAGGAAAACAATTAACTTTGGGTGCAGTGCAAAAGGCAGCAAGGGCACTGCACAGTAAAAAACATTTCAAAGGAAGCCTGTTGCAGCTTTCACAGGGAGCCATCCCACTTCACTTTCATGCTTTAATTCTGAAGTCATAATTAGGTTTACAGCCTTTGTGAAGGGTTTATCAGTTTTTCAGGAAGCCTTTCTTTGAAAGACTGGACCCTTAACCAAAGCCAGCAGAAATCCAAAGTACAGTAGCATGAAAACAGGTAAAGAGAACTTCCAGTAGTTCCTGTTTCTGGGTCTTGCTATACATTAGTAGCTTTTCTCTTACTACTTCTGGAATATCTACTGTCATCTACTGCATTCCCATTTCTATTTAATGGTGGCTGAAGCACTGCAGTGTGAGATACAATTAAGGAAATTGTGATATTTAGAGAATAACTGACAACATTTTTGCAGCTATTGAAAAGCTCGTCTCATTAATATTATTTTAAATCTCATTTTCACAAAATGATTTCTTCTAATCCTCACAATCTGCATAAGAAGTGTAATCAGCAAGCTGAAATTAAAGTATCTGCAACCTCTGCCCTTTTCATCAGTCACAAATTAAAGAAAATAATGTCTTCTAGTGGGAAGAACACTTTCTAAAGAAATGATTTCTATCAATCTCTCCCCTCTAAAGCAAAATATGTACCCTTGCTTAAAAGAATACAAATAACAAGAATACAAAATATAAAATATTATAAATATTTAAATATTTAATTTAATAATATAATATTTTAAATATAATAAAATATAAATATAAATACAAATGAATACAAATAATTAAGTAACATTTTTTTGGTTAAATTTTGTCTTCATCAGATCATGAAGTAAATGTTGGTTTAAAAACCTCAGTCTTCTTGCCAGATGGCAGTGGAGTATCTTTCACAAGCAGCAGAGCAGCACAGCATCCAGGATATCCATGGCAAACTGGGAAGGCATTTTCTGCATATCTGTGACCCTCCAGAGCTCTAGAGAAAGTCAGAATCGCAGGGCAAGGAGCACAATTGGTAGGAGCAATAACATCATTCTACAGCCTCTGCCTGCAGCATTGCTCTCTTCTTTTAGCAGTTGGCAATAAAATGTTTAACTTTTGGAAGAAAAATTGGCTCAAAGCAGAGCCAGTTGGCTTAATGCAGATTTTTAGAAATTCCACCATAAACATTTGTTCCACACAGCTTTGTCATTGCCATTTGGAAAGCCCAGTGACAGGTGATGGTGCTGATTCTTTCCCAGTGCTGCACTCACGAGGAAGTGCTTTTGTGTTGTTCAGGCTTTTCTGTTCTGGATTTATTGGCTTTGCATGGCCAGGCTTTGGCAGGGTGGGAGCTCCAGGGCTGGATTCTGTGAGCAGCTGCTGGAAGCTTCCTCCGTGTCCAGCAGAGCCGACCCTGGCAGCTCCAAGGACGGAGGTGCTGCTGGCCAGGGCTGCTCAGCCACACACGGTGGGGACACCTCGGCCACAACAGAGCTGAGGAGAGAGAAAAGTTCCTGTGCAGCCCTGGCCAGAGAAGGGCAGGGTGAGAAGTGTGAGAGGAACAGCTCAGCAGGCAGCAAGGGCAGGGAGGAAGGGGGACAGGAGAGCTCCAGGCACCAGAGCAGGGATTCCTCTGAGCCCGAGGTGCAGCTGTGCCCCTACAGCCCCTGGAGGGCATGGGGGATGGAGAGATCCATCCACAGCCCCTGGGGATCCACAGGGATCCAGAGATCCATCCACAGCCCCTGGGGATCCATGGGGGATGGAGAGATCCATCCACAGCCCCTGGGGATCCACAGGGATCCAGAGATCCATCCACAGCCCCTGGGGATCCACAGGGATCCAGAGATCCATCCACAGCCCCTGGGGATCCACAGGGATCCAGAGATCCATCCACAGCCCCTGGAGATCCATGGGGGATGCAGAGATCCATCCACAGCCCCTGGGGATCCATGGGGGATGCAGAGATGTCCCCACAGCCCCTGGGGATCCATGGGGGATGCAGAGATGTCCCCACAGCCCGGGGAGGAGCCCCCAGTGGAGCAGGACAATCCTGGAGGAGCTGGGAGCCCATGGGAGGCCTGTGCTGAGGGGTCCCTGCTCCCAGGCTGGAGCAGCCTGGCCTGGCAGGACTGAGCCGTGGCAGAGTGACCCCAGAGCAGCAGGGCTGGCAGCACTCTCTGCCCCAGGAGGGACTCAGGGGGGAGA